TTCTGATGCCGGCCAGTTCTTTTACCTTCCTATGTAGATTAAAGTCATCATGCCTTTCCAATAGTACTTCTATTTCCTCACACTTGTTTGAGTACCATTTTTCCTTGGCTTCTCTTATTTTCTTTCTAATTACACCATATATGTCTTTATATTTTTCGATGTCTACGTTCTTGTACAATCTTCTCTTTTCCATCAATTGCAGTATCTCATCATTAATCCATGACTTTGTTGTGTTATTATTTTTCTTTCCTTTTAGAATCTCCTTCGTTGGATTCAGCATTATGTTTTTAAATGTTTCCCATTTTCTGTTCGAATCTTCGTCTGGATCGATTATATTTATCTTTATTTCCTCGTTAATTTTTTTGGATAGCTGATCTCTTACAAATGAATTTTTCAAAAATGAACGTTGTATTTGATTCTTATTGCAACGTGCAGTTAGTTTTTTAAATCGGAGATCGAATGATACAACAACGGGATTGTGGTCTGTGGCTGCATCAGCCCCAGGGTATGTTTTTGCTGATTTAATGGAGTTCCGAAACCTTTTTCTTATTAAAACATAGTCTATCTGGTTTCTAATAACTTTCCTATCATTATCCGCAGGCGATCTCCAGGTGTAGAGTCGACGATTAGGTAACTTAAAATAAGTGTTTGTAACTACCAGACTGTTCTCTTGACAGAACTCCACCAATCTTTCCCCCCTCTCATTTCTTAAACCAAGTCCATATTTCCCTACAATATCTTCTACTTCTCCTTTTCCTACTTTTGAGTTAAAATCGCCCATAACAATCGTGATATCTCTATGCTTTGTATTATCCAGGGCTTGTTGTATATCTTTATAGAATTGTTCTATTTCATCGTCTGTCTTGTCGGAAGTTGGAGCATATACTTGGATTATATTTAACTTTCGTTGGATCATTGTTAAAGAAACCATAACTACTCTATCTGAGATAGGACTGAAAGAAGTGACTGATTGACATAAGTTCTTATCAACAATGATTGCTACTCCATTTCGATGGTTTGGATCATTATTTCCCGAATAGTATATTTTGGAATTTAAAATCTGTTGTTCACCCGAGTCTGGCCATCTGGTTTCACTTAGTCCCAATATTTTGACAGACATGCGTTGCATTTCTTGTATGACGTTGTGTATCTTTCCGGCTTCATAAATTGTTTTAATATTCCAGGTAGCGATCTTTGCACCTTTATTCTTTTTGTAGGGTTTTCGTAGATTAACGACCGGGGGAGCCCTACAGTCTTTTGGTTGTCTACCCCTGCCGGATCTTGACGACCGAAAATCATGATCAGTAACTTGTTGTAACCATCTTGTACTAGCCATAATGATTAACTAGGGATATCCATTAAGGATCTTTAATGTAGTGGTTTCCCCTTGCCTTCTACATCCTTACGCCGTTGACCTATTTTTTCGGTTCGTCCGCCTTTAGGGTCAGTTTCCCAACCCCAGGACAAAAGGGTGCCCTACCACTTACCAACTCATCCGCCCGAAGCCGTTGGTCAGTAAGTGGGGGATTGCTTATACCGGCAAACGTTCGGTAGAATTTTCGCCTTATCTGGCTACCCTCACTTAGTTTAGCCTGCAGACCAATGCAGTTGCCCGGGGTGTGGCACGTGGAGCCATAAGTGAGAGTTAGTTGTCTTATGAGGACCAGTTATCAAGAACCATCTCCCGTCTATGACGCTCGATGTGGTCGTTCCGATAAAAGGTGCTACCTCTATAACACAACTCTACACCCCGGATCACTTATAGGGGGTTGAAAATTGGGGACAGAAATTGCTGGGCTGGGAATAGGCTTAGCAAAAGAAACCGGAACGTTTGCAAACGTGAATGTGAAAGTAAATGAAAAGGGGACTGGATTGAAGTAACTAAAAAATAATCAAAAGAGTACTTACAGAGATTTCCTGGACAAAACAACAAAAGTTCCCAAGCTATTTAAAATGGACGCTGCTTACAATAATCTTCCTGTTGAGTGGAAAGATAAGCTTTTCTTTCCTAAAATATACATCAAAAAGGTTAGAATCTTTAAAAAAATATTACTCTTGGTTTAGGTAGAAACATTACATATTTATTATTATCTCACTCTAAATAGTTACAAATATAAATAATAATAATAACAAAATAACAAAAACAACTTACAACTAGACGTTGGGGACATTTTGTGGCGGAAATAAATTATTACAAAGAAAAATATCTTTTTAAATGGAGCTATGCATAGAGGTAAACCATTCAAAAAAGTTTACATTTATCTTACAGATTAGTAACCGCAACATAATTTGACGTAAAATAACGGGTACATTTTATTTTATGAATAAATATATATCCTCTAGATAAATATCTTTCAGATAGCACAATATTTATCTGGATGTAAAAAGACCGGCATAAGCAAGAAGTTTATTATTTTAAAAATTTAATTTTTAATTTTTTTAAAAGTTTGTTGATCCTAAAAAATTGACTTGGAATTTGGTGATCGGTAAATAATATAATACGCTGGTTTCTATACGAAGACGCAAACTATCAACGATTCCTCAAACGTGACTTATTTGTTATAAAAGTTGTACAGCAGATTAAAATACCATTTTATTAACATTCTAGCTTTAAATAGGAGGAAGACAGAAAAAATTGAGTGAAGTGACCGTAGATGGCAATTGATTGGATCCTCCGTCGCATGGTGACGGCAAAATTAATAGTCTTTTATATTTATCACCTGAAGAATTGTAACTACCATATCTCAATCACGTCGAGGCCGTAGACGTAACTTTAAAATAATAGTTCTCATTATTAGTAGTACCTATCACAGTTTAATGTTTAATGCTGTATACCGTGGTAGTACCCTTGGAAAACTTCAACGAACCATCCCAAGTGCTTTATTTTTTGAGACGTGGTAAATAGAATAGGCCAATCACTTATATATCAATATTTAAAACCAGGCAATTATTTTTAAAATGTCTATAAGCGGAACAAAAAAAAAACACGAATTAAAGAGCAAGGCGGTAATTAAAACATCTTGGAAGCGACACTTATCTAATATAAGCAGACTCTTGAAGTGGTTTAGTCTAATATTTTAAAATCGACTATTTTTTACCATGTATTTTTATGATATATCTCTCTCTCTCTCTCTCTCTCTCTCTCTCTGCAATCCTGACCCCCAGGGGGAGTGTAGTGGTCGACGTGATGTCGTGTATTGTCCGTCTCCAGAGATCTCTGTCTCTGGTCATTTCTTTTAATTCATGCATAGGTGTTTGGCATATTCCTGTAATTTGATCTATCCATCTTGTTGGGGATCTTCCTCGTGATCTTCGGCCTTCTACCTTTCCTTGTATTATGAGTCTTTCCATGTTTTCTGTGTTTGTTCTCATAACATGCCCAAAATATTTTAATTGTTGGAGATGGACTTTACTAGAAAGTCGTTGGCTAACTTTTAGCTCTCTTAAAATTGAATTATTTGTTCTACGGTCGGTCCAAGAAATTCGTAGCATTCGTCTCCAACAGAACATTTCAGTGGCATCTATCATTCTTCTCTCCGATTGTCTCAGAGTCCAAGATTCACATCCGTAGGTCAGTATTGGGAATATTAAGCAGTTGATCAACCTCATCTTTATCGCTCTTGAAATTTGACAGTCCTTCCATATTTTGGTCATTTTTGCTATGGCAACTTTTCCTAGATCACATCTACGTTTAATCTCTTCTTGTAATGACCCTGTGTTTGTGATTAATGATCCCAGATATAAGTATGAGCTCACAACCTCGAACCGGTCAATTGTGGTTATGTGTGGATGATTGTTGTGTAGTCTATCCATTATCATGATCTTTGTCTTTGATATGTTTAATTGCAGACCAAATATTTGACTTTCGGTTTCGATCCATCGTATAAGTTCTATCAGCTCTGCTTGACTATTTGAATAATTGTGGAGATAGTATACATCCTTGTCTGACACCCCGTTCTGAATGAAATTCGTTCGAAAGTGTGTCAAGTACTTTAACTGATCCAGTAGTGTGTTCATATAGTTCGGTTATAAGCATAATTAGATGTTGTGGTACGCCTACTTCTTTTAGTATTCGCCATAGGTGTCTCCACGTGACCCTGTTGAACGCTTTACGGTAATCTATAAAACAGATGTATAGTGGGATGTTGATTTTTCTAGATTTCTCGATTATCTGTCTTATATTCAGCAGGTGTTCTCGAGTGCCTCTACCTTTGGTAAATCCAGTTTGCTCTTGTGGAATTTCTCTTTGAAGGAATGTTTTCAGTCTCTCATTGATTATATGTAGCATTGTCTTGCTGGCATGGGATATAAGAGAGATACTTCTATAATTGTCGCATTTATGGAAGCTGCCTTTTTTATGTATGGTCGTTATTGTAGATTTTGTCCAGTCTTCAGGCCATTGTTTGGAATGCCATATTTGGTTACAGAGTAGATGAAGTAACTTTACGCCGGTTTCTTCTGTGGCTTTAAGCATTTCTGCTGTTATCATATCTGGACCTGGTGCTTTGTTATTGTTTGGTGTTGAGTTTGTTGATAGCCTGTCTTACTTCATTTTCGAGTATATCAGGTTCTTCTTCCACCTCGTCAGAGATTTGGCTTTTATGATATACATGGTACAAAAAATGCTAGTCTCATTATCATACTCAGTCGTTTTATTGACTATTAGGTTTCTTACATAGAAAGACGATATTGGCAGCAACAATAGATCCAAAGAAACAGAGTATATAAAGAGTCACATCATGGTGAGACACTTGGACTCTAGATACTGATTCACTAGAGACTATGTATACAATAATACAAAAGAGCAAGTTCTTAATCATAGATGGTCAAATTATTATTAAATTGTTTGATTACAAAATAATGGCAAAAAACTATCATTATCAAATTATTTAATTGCATAGGTTTAATAAATTTAGAAAAAAACGGAAGGAATTTTCAAATTTAATAAAAATCTTGTGAAATAATTGTAGATCACACGTTAATACTAGCTTTTGTTGTAGGGGTCCCAACGTTTCCATTCTCCATCTACGAACTTCCACGGAGCCATGGGAAACAACCACTACGTCTACGTTTTCGTCGAGCACGACTCATACTGCCAAAAGTTATTTCTCGAGAGGCGCAGCATCTAGTTTACCACCTCTGACTAAACATCAATCATTGGTTGGTCCGAGTGGTGCATACAAATGGCAAAACTCACCAAGTTTTCATACCACAGCGGAAGTCAACTCTCCGGAGATGTTCGTCGGAATTGCCAAGAGAGAGCTCTCACCGGTAAGTGCTTGTTTTTTTTTGTATGTACTATCTCTACTAAGCAGATTGATCATCATGGTGACAATTCGTATTTTTATTCGCTATTCTCAACAGGTCAATGATACTCCATCTAAAGCAGATTATACGTTTAATTTATATTTAAAATTAAAATTCAGTATACCCTTGATATTTCAACATTTTGCAATCCGACACGCTGGGTAGTCCGACGCACCTTCCGTCAAGGTCGCCGCCGTGTCTGCTCGTACTGAAACCTGTCACGACATGAATCTGATTCTTACCAGATGCTTCATTACGTGTGTTTTCCGTGAGCAGTTTGGTCCGATAGAGTTTTTAGGTACAGTAATACATACGTGTCAAACTTTTATCTAATCCATTTAGAAAGATTAGTTCAATGGCGAGCACAAGTTCAAAACGAAAGCACAAAACGCTGACTCTAACAGATAAATGGGATATTATTAAGAGATGCGATTATAGGTTTTATAATATTGGACGAGCTACAGTTTATTATGAAGAACAAAGGCAAAATCGAAAAAAATATGAAATCTGTAGAGAATTAATTTAAGGTCAGAAAAACCATTAAAATGAGTGATTTTCCTGAAGTTAAAGAAGCTCTGCCCATCTGGTTTGAGCAACAATGAAGCAGACAAGCTCCCATTTTAGGTGACATTTTGAAAAATAAAGCTTAGTTTTACTAGTAGTAAAACATAATTTTCACAATGAATAAATATTGGTGAAATTATTACAATATAGTCTTAAGTTGATTTATACTTAATTGAAAATAAACTGATGACATTCATTAAAATTAAAATAAATTGTATGTATAAATTTATCATATTTACTAAAATATAATCTTCATAACTAATTTTTTTATTCATATACGAATGAATGAAGAAATTATTGGTTTCATCAATTCCCTCTGGACCTGGTGATTTATAGGATACAAACTAGTTGATTGCCCATTTGATTTTGTCCTAGTTCACCACTTGTTTTGCATCACACCAGTTTTGAACCATAAGCTATGATATCCATTCCAGTTGCTGTTACGTGCCTAGAGGTATCAGTTTTATTTGAGACTCAGGAAAGAGCACACTGAAAAGATATTTCAGAGTCTCTTCACAATTTAGTGTGTATTTACCTGACTTATTTTGGAGCGAGGGAATATTATCTAAGGGTCTTTTGAGATAACTTTATAGAGTCTTGACATCTCTGCAGTCTGTTCTATGTCCTAGAAATGCCCAACATGATTCTCTTTTAGCGCTTTTAAGTTTTTTATATTCAGTCCATGCTTTGCAATAATCGCCCCACTCACCAGATCTTTTGGAGCAATTAAATTTTCATCTGACTTCTGTCCTTTGATTGTCATTCCGCCAGGGTACTTTTCCGTTGAAATTCCTCACAATTTCCGGACAGTTATTTTTAAGCGCTGGCATGACAATGAAATTGTACGTCGGCCATGTCTACGTTCAATGTATGCTTTATAGTCCCTTTAGTCTTACCTAAACAATATTCCAGCCAATTTGTTTTACGAGGATTACCATAAGTTTCCTTGATATGCTCATTGCCTGTCTTGGTGGTCTAAACAAGACACCTCATCTAAGGCATGCTATTTTTTAATAGAGTGGTGTTGGTACTGCCCCAGGTCAGATGGTAGGCATTCGTATCATAGCCAACAATTTATTGCAGTTCATTTTTCATGCAATCTCTCACTAACTGTTCCAACTCCCTTGATGGTTGTAGGTTGATCATATGGAAGGTGTGCTGATCTAAAAACGCTTGATTTCTGAGAAGCAATCGCCGTTGTCGGTTATCATGGAGCTCAAGTATACACATCTGCCTACCACTTCGACATTCGTCACTTGGTGTATGTACGGTAGATTATTATTTGCTCTGTCTACGATCATTATTTTTGTTTTTCCTGTATTGATCTGAAGTCGGAATTCTTCGCTTATCCGGCTTAGTCCTTCAGTGAACATAATATTTCGACTGCATTCGCTGCTAGTATAAGTGTGTCATCTGTGTATCGCAGGTTGCTGATTTTATATCTCCTATGGTGATTCCTCCACCCTATTCGTCTAGTACTTTTTTAATTATATATTCAGAATATATGTTGTACAATAATAGTGATAGTATGCAGTCCTGTCTAGTCCCTTTAGATAGAGGGGTGAAAATTAAGGGTTGTATGTATTTTTTAATGCCACAATACAAAAAATAAATTATAAAAATTGTTTTCCCAAAATAAAAAAAATTGTTTGGGGTGAACCACTTTTATCACTTAGGAATATAACAAAATTTCAGTTCAATTTCTCGTGAAAATGGTTGAAATTATCGTGTTGAAACAAGAATATCCACATTAGGTGAACAATAATTATATTTTCTAATTAAAACTACTAAAAAGTTTCTTCAAAAAAAGTTTCGACTCATTTTCATCATTAATATACAATATTTAGTTACACTAGAATAATAAGTTTACACTTAATATACACAAAATCTTTAATTTATATCCCAATAGTTATGACTTAATCTGTATAATCATATTATAATACAAGGACTGTTATTTCTTGAAGTGTTTGTTATAGACATGCTCCAACGATTAGATTATAGAGTATAATATATTATATTTTAGGTAAAGGACCCGTTTGGCCTAGTAGATCTTTGCACACTGCGATCTAAGAAACCTTTTGTGTATACCTTACATTTATTGTACCTTTTGGATAGGCTTTAAAGCCTATCGAGCCCTTTTTATGTAGACTCCTTGTTATAACACGTTCTTAAACCTTTTCCTTTGTGTCTTTGTAAGCGTGGTCGATAACGGAACTCAGTTCCATAGTCTATAGTGTGAATGAGCCTTTTTTGTTTCTGCTTTTACTATTTTTGTTTCCCTGAAGCTGGGGAATTGATAGTCGGTGCTGGCAGAGACCCGCATACTGGCAAAAGGTTAATAAAACCCAAGTTTCGTCTAATACCCGGAGTTCAACCATTCTTAGCTTTCACTCGACCATGCTCGTCTAACAGAACTAGCAATAACTAAATCACGATCAAGTAATCACGTTCCACCCCGATGGAGTTTCACCACTGCGGAGGTTCTCCGAGGAGTTCGTCTTAATTTAACTTGTTCCATTCCTTCGTATATCTTATTCTGGTAGTTCGGTAGTTATCCATCAAATCTGAGTTCAAATAAATTAGATTAGTTTGTAGTTTATTACAAACCAGTTTGGAAAAAGAAAAACATTTTTATTGTACTGAAAAATATAAATCTTTCCTATTTCATTTTTGATAGTAGAATCAACTGAATGTTGTAAATATTACAAACTACACATAGAACATAGATAACAATCCATTGATGTATTAATGTTAACAACGGGGGTATCATGTCAGTCGGTTATTAAAAGGGCTGTCAGCAACTCACAAATCGTTGATAATGCACATAATAAATTCTCTCTACATCCAAACAAGTGTGTTTGGAATGTTCAACTGCTGATGCAGTCAAATTACTGCAAATACTACAATTCAGTTAACCATTCTACTTTATAATAAAAGATGATTTGGTCTTTTGATGGGTTAATCAGGCAACAATTTTAATTGGGTACTTGGGTATATTGTTTTGGCTCTTTTTTTAGTAGCTTTTTAATTGGCTATACCTATTTATTGGGAATAAACCATAATAATTATAATTAAATTAAATGTTTTTGACTTTTGGGCTTCGAGTAAGGAAATAGTTTTAATACACTGTATTTAATATTAAATATAAATATTTAAATAATAATCTTCTTCTTCACGTGCCATCTCCGCGACGGAGGTTAGAAATCATCATGGCTATTCTGATCTTAGATGCTGCTGCTCTGAATAGTTCAATTGATGTGCATCCGTACCATTCCCTCAAGTTACGCAACCATGAAATTCTTCTTCTTCCTACACTTCTCTTGCCCTGGATTTTCCCTTGTATAATCAATTGAAGTAGGTTGTATCTCTCATTACGCATAACATGCCCCAGGTATTGCAGCTTTCGTGTCTTGACGGTTTCCAATACTTCCATTCTTTTGTTGATTCTTTTTATGACTTCGTTGTTTGTCATATGCTCGGTCCATGATATCTTCAGGATTCTTTTATACGCCCACATTTCAAATGCTTTCAACTTTTTACCAGTCGACGCGTTAAGTGTCCATGCTTCCAACCCATAAAGCAGAGTCGAGAAAATATAACACCTTGCCAGCCTAACTCTGAAGTCCAATTTTAACTCTCTTGTACAAAGTACCTTTCTCATTTTATTGAAGTTTGTACGTGCTTTCTCTATTCGAACTTTGATTTCTTTGAAGTAATCGTTTGTGTGATTAATTATTGTGCCAAGATAGTGGTAGTTTTCAACTTGTTCTAAGGCACTACCGTTAATTGTCAGGCTTTCACCATTATTTTGGGTTTTTGATATCCTCATAAATTTGGTTTTCTTCGTGTTTATTGATAATACATATTCTTCTCCATACTCAACTATATTGTTCATTAGCTTTTGGAGGTCTTGGAGGTTGTCTGCTATTATGATAGTATCGTCCGCATATCTAATGTTGTTAATTGGTGTTGCATTAACCTTGATTCCTGTTGTTTCTCCCTCAAGAGCTCTTTTCATAATTTCTTCAGAGTATGCATTGAATAGTAGTGGTGACAATACACACCCCTGTCGCACTCCTCCTTTAACTTCGAACTCTTCTTATGTGTGTTCATTAATTCGTACATGTGCCCGCTGTTTATAATATAGATTTGTTATAATTCGAAGGTCATTGTGTTGTCGTTGTTTTGCTTTGAGAAAGCGTGAAAGCTTTGTTGTAGTCTATGAAACAGACGTACATATCTTGGTTCACATTCAAGCATTTCTGGATTAGTACGTTGAAAGCAAAGAGAGCTTCACGGGTACCTACGCCATTACGGAATCCAAATTTAGTTTCTTCAATATCCATATCAAGTGTTTTGTAAATGCGTTTATGAATGATCTTTAAAAACAATTTAAGTGT